AATCAATGATTCGTGCCTTTGGGGGCCCTCTTGGGGGTGCTCTTGGAGGCCTTTTGGGGCGTCTTCGAGGCTTTTTGGGCCGTCTGCAGACCATCTTGGGCGTCTTGGAGTGGTCTTTCGGTGATTCTGTGCCCTCCCAGTCCGTCCTGGCGGCCTTCCGGGGCTTGCTTGGCCCGTTCTCGGGCCCTCCTGAGCCAGGGGACTTTTCCGGAGGCCCACGCGAAACACCCTGGAAGCGACTGGCAACGCCCCAGAGCGTCCAAGAGCGCCCAGGAAACTGGGGTTCCGGGCCCCCAAGAAACTTCCAAACGCTTTTCCTTTCAGGGCTTCATAAGCCTTGGGGCACTCCACTTCGAGCCAGAGGCACGGTGGCGGATGTATCCTAAGGCCTGGGGAGCGGGACTCCATGACTTGTGAAGGTGGGGAGTGGTGACGATCGCAGGAGATTTGTTTCCCCCAATCCCCGAGTTCCGCCCGAAAAGTTTGGCCGCTCAGTAAAAGGTCGGGGGGGACAAAATCACAGACACAATTAATCGTCGAGTCTCCAGAAAATATCGGAAAATATGGGAACTGGGGGGGAAGACAAAACCCCAGAAAACAAGACAAATATTGGGGATCCTGTTATTTGTGTCTATTTATTTGTGGGTCCCAGGGCTCCTTCAAAAGGGGTAAACTCTGGGATGCGCCCCAAGGGGGTTTTTCGGACGCACCCCCATCGAGGATGGACGCCCCCCATCGTATATCCCAGGGCCCAGCCCCAAATCTCTGGTCCATTCGAGAAGCCCACGAAGCCTGGGACAGGGGTCGACGTATCCCCTGGATGATCGTGGCCGTCCGGGAACTTGCAAGAACTACGACGACGACGACGCCGAAGCCGCCGTCGACGCCGACGCCGACGCCGACGCCGCCGCCGCCGCCACTAACGACGACGACTACGGCGACGATGACGACGACGACGACGACGACGACGACGACGACGACGACGACGACGACGACGACGACGACGACGACGACGACGACGACGACGACGACGACGACGGTAACGGAGCGAAGCAGCTGCGACACGCGTGGCTGCCGCCCACCTGGGCGGCGCCGGAGGCGGAGCGGCACGTGCTCCTCGGCGTCGTGCGCCTGGGGGATCTGGGCTCGCTGTCCGAGGTCGGCTATCGGACGCTGGACGGCAGCGCCCAACGCGGGGTGGACTACGAGGCACGATGGTCCTCAGGACATGTGTTGCGGTCGGACCGAGGTGTAAGATCGAGGTGGGTTCGGGGAGGGTATAGTAATGTTCGTCGTGCTTGTGGGATGTTCTTGTGAATCCTGCGGGGAGGGATACCCTCGAGTATTCTCCAGTTTGGCCGGCGGAGGGTCTCATGTTCTTGAAGGATGTTCTTCTGTCCTGGGTCTGGCCGCACCCCCGTGTTAGCCCGACGTGTCAGAGGAGGAGAGGTACCCATACCGCTGCCTCCCGGGAGGCCCTCGTCGCCTCGCCTTGGAATCCTGGTCAGAACGCAACCCGGGAGAGGTCCATCGGACGGGGCTATAGGACGCGGACAAGTCCGTTCCAGAGCGTCCCGGAACGCTCTCAGAGCGTTCCGGAACGCTCTGAGGAGGCCGCGGCGCCCGAGACATGCTCCAGAGCCGCCGGATCTCAGAGATTCTCGATGTGCCCTCGCCCGATGTCATCCCAGTCCAGGGCGTGGCGGTATCCGCGCTTTTTGGTTCCCCCCCGGCCGGGTGTGGGCAACACCCCAATATACTTATACTATATGTGCGTCGCCCCCCCAGGGGCGACGCGCGCACCGAGAAATCTTATAGTATATGCGTCGTGGCGTGCGCTTTCTGGCCACATCGCTCGGGAAACGATATACTACAAGACGGGTATACTATATGTTCGGGTCGGACGCTCGCCTCCAAGGAGGACATATAGTACTAGTATGTCTCTGTGCCTCCCAGGGTGCGTGTTTCCCGTTCCCCCCCCGTGCGGCTCGGCCGATCGCGCGCAGCCCGTGCCGGCCCTCCCAGTGCCGCCCGCGTCGCCTGGGAGGGCTCGGGCGGGCAGGCACGCGTGGGCGCTGACCCGCATGCCCAGACCGGGGCTCGTCCGGATTCCTCCGAGTCGATGCGATTCGACGTCGATGGCTCAAGAGGGGAAAAAACACACAGACACAATTAATCGGCGATTCCCAGAAAATATAGGAAAATATGGGAAGTGGGGGGGAAGACAAAAACTCAGCAAATATGGGAAAATATGGGGACTATTTTTATTTGTGTGTATTTATTTGTGTGTTCCAGTTCCCCTTCAGGCTCGTCTGGATTCCTCCGAGTCGATGCGATTCGACGTCGACGGCTGCCGATGCCGATTCGATTCGACTCGAGAAGCCGACCTGGGTTCCGATATGTCCTCTTGGAGGCGTGCCAGCAGCCTGCCGGTTTCCGCCGATGCGGCTTTTCCCGCCTCGGCTGCTGGTTTCCGCCGATCCGATTCATGTCGACCGCCGATCCGATTTCGGGGGAGCGTAAGACCCGGGTTTGCCAGGACTCGGGTTCGCCATCGTTTTTTGACGACAGCGCCTCGGATTTTGACGTGGAGGAGTTTTGTGGGATGTCTGCAGCGGGAGGCCTCGTCAAAATGCAGGCTCAGCCTCGTCATTTTTTTGACGACCTCGTCGGGGATTTCCGAGTCCCCTGTACCCAGGTCTTACGTCCCCCTGACGATTCATCGATTCGATTCTGGGCTCTCCTGCCAGATCCCCGACGCCATAATCCTTTCACAGCGTCGAGCCCCAGAGCAGGGGTCGGCCTTAACCGTGTTTTGGCGATTTCGTGGGCCGTTTTCGTTGCGGTTTCGTTTTGCAGCAGAAAGGGCGGAAGGAAGACTGAACGGGGGAGAACAACAAACAACGAAACCGAAAAACACTGTTTAGGTCGCGCCGTGCCCCACAGGTCTCGACCCACTCCCTGGGACTGGCAAAGGGCTTCTCCAGTGGCCGAACATGGCGAAGCACCTCCCGTCGTGCTCTTTTCATGCGTCGAAGGGGTCCCCAGACAACGTATTGACAAAAATCAAGACGGAGGTTTTTCTCGATTTTCGGCCTTTAGCGGCCCTCGCCGGGCCCTGGGACCGTCAAAAACTGACTCAGGATGAAAAACCGGTCCTGGGGAATGGGTCGAGACTTCTGGGGAGCCCGTCTTGAAAAAATCCTGACATCGGATCTCTGGGTCTGAGTCCTGAGGATCATCGAGAGGCGGCGTCGGGGCTGCTGGTCTTCCAGCCCGGCCAGCGCGTGGCGAAGGCCCCCGGGCGGGGAGCACCTCCGCAGCCGCCGGCCCGCGGGCGGGGCCACGCGGGCCGCGGCCCCACACGCGCGGGGCGTTTCCGCGCGGCTGCCCCGCGCAGAGCCCGGACCCCCTCGAGTTAGGATTTTAAGTCGGGCCTGTCCCTCTACAGGGGGAAGATTCAAAAATAGTCAAAAAGATAGCCTGGGTGCATTCCTTTCGTATTTTTGGGCATCTTTTGGCTATATTTTTTGACTATCGTTTTTTATTCTTCGTCCAAAATTCCCCCCTGCAGGGGGACAGACCCGACAAAAAGTTCGGAAGAGATGTCACGGCGGCGGGCTTTTCGCTAGTTTCGGCCTCTGGGGGGGGGGCCCTTGCCGGCCCTCGGGGCCGTCACGGGGTGGCTCGGGAGGGCGAAGCCGGCCCCGGGGAGCGGGGCGTGGGCCGAGGCCTCCTGGGGGGGTCGACGTCACGAGAGCACCAGGACGCCGGGGGGTCCGGGCACGCACCCGCGCGTATTCGCGTATCCGCGGGGCCGCTCCCCGGGGCCCAGGCCGCGGCGGCGCGGGTTGGGACGCGTGCGCCGCTCGTTTGCCCCAAGAGAGAGAGGTGCCCGTGGCGCTCCGCGAGCGCGAGGCCTGGCGCCCCGCCGCCGCCTTCCACGTGGAGCTGCTGGCCGAGGGCGCGGTCAACGCGCGGCTCGACGGGAGGCTCCAGAGGACCCAGGTTCGGGGGAGCGTAAGACCCGGGTTTGCCAGGACTCGGGTTCGCCATCGTTTTTTGACGACCGCGACTCGGATTTTGACGAGTAGGAGTTTCGTGGGATGTCTGCAGCGGGAGGCCTCGTCAAAATGCAGGCTCGGCCTCGTCATTTTTTTGACGACCTCGTTGGGGATTTCCGAGTCCCCTGTACCCTGGTCTTACGTCCCCCTGACAGGTGGCCATCAGCTCGAGCGACTCGTTCCCGACGGGCCGGTACCGCAGGGAGCTCCGGGAGCGGCGGCTGGACCAGGCTCGGGTCGGGCGGCGAGGGGGCCCCTCTCCCTCGGAGGCCCCATCGGCGTCCCGTGCGGCGGCGCCTCGAGGGGCGGTGCGGGGGCCGTCGGAGGACCCCTCCGAGGGCCTGTGTGGCCCTTGGAGGGCCCTGCGGTGGCGCCTCGACGGGCACTCGGCGGGCACCCCTCCCAGACCCCCTCGAGTAATGAAAAAATCACGACGGGAGGTTTTTCCTAATTTTCGGCCTCCGGGGGCCCTCACCGGGCCTCGGGAGCGTCAAAAAACGACTCAGGATGCAAAGCCGGTCATGGGGAAAGGGTCGGGACCTCTGGGGGTCGACGTAATGAAAAAATCATTACGTCGGGGGTCTGGGCTCGAGGGCGCCTCGCGGCGGGATCGAAGTCTGCTGCGTGCGGCTGATTTCGGCTCCGCTGCCGGGCGCCTTCTTCGAGACGTTGGCGTCAAGGCGGGCAGGTACCTCTTTAGGAGGAAGGTTCAAAAACAGTAGACCCATAGTCTGGGGACGATGTTTTGATTTCTGACTACTTTTGAATCGGAGGTTGGGGGGTGAGATCGCAGTGAAACGGAGACCCCCGTCCGGGAAATCGGTTTCGGTTTCGTGTTCGTGTCGTGCGTGCGGGCGAGGCGAAGCTGCGCGTGATTTCCTGTAGCTAGGCCGAAATAGGAGCGAAAGTCCGTTCCCGTCCGCCGGTGGCTGGGAGGTGTCCCAGTTGGGCCGGGCGGTGTCCCGGGTGTCCCAGGTGTCAGTAGGAGCGAAAGTCCGTTTACAGTTGGGCCGGGCGGTGTCCCGGGTGTCCCGGGCGTCCCGGCGCTAACGCATGTCGCTAATTTCGTAATTAATTTTTGTTCGGCGCCTGCGGCGGGCTTTCTTATCCAATGCAGCTTATATTATCCAATACATCTTGTCCAAGCAAATGCATCTTATCTTATCCAACCCATCTTGTCCCAACTTATCCCACCCAATCCAATCAACCCAACCCAAGCCATCAATTCATTTGTTCCTGCGCCTGCGGCGGGCCAATCCATCTTTTATCCAATCCATCTCTTCCAATCCAACCCATCTTGTAATATCCAATCCATCCTATCCCATCCAATCCAGTCCACCCAACCCAATCCATTAATTTGTTTTTGTCGGCACCTGCGGCGGGTTTTCTTCTCCAACGCAGCTTATATTATCCAATCCATCCATCTTATCTTATTCCACCCATTCCAATCCATCCAACCCCAAGCCATCAATTCATTTGTTTCTGCGCCTGCGGCGGGCCAATCCAATCCATCTTATCTTTTGTCCAATCCATCTCTTCCAATCCAACCCATCTTATGTTATCCAATCCATCTTATCCCATCCAATCCAACCCACCCAACCCAATCAATCAATTCATTTTTGTCGGCGCCTGGGCGCGATCGCGGCAGACTGCGAGAAAGAGAGAGAGAGAGAGAGATGAGATCAAGGTGACAGGCTGGAGGTCCGTCAGGGTGGGCATTTGATTTCACTCCCCCCCAACCTCATTATCGCCCTCAGGGGGGTTGTATAGGTATCTTTGGATTGTTTCCCAACCATCCTGTGGTGTTGGGACCTCGTTTTGAAGAGACGGCGCCCGGCGTTCTCCTCCTCCCGCCTCCTTCCTCCCTCCCTCGCCTCTGCCCTCAGCATGTATCTGCTTCGGCAGACCCCTCACACGTTTCGTGGCCCCGTAGGGAGCTCCACCGCAGGCACCAGCGCCAAAGTTTGCATGGCGGCGCGCCAATTTCGGCGCACCCCTCACACGTCTCGTGGCCCCACAGGGAGCTCCACCAAAGGCGGGGCTCACAACTGCGGTACTCACAACGGCATATGGTTGGGTCCTTCGCCATGATGGCTTTGATTTTTCTTCCAAAGTCAGCCTGTAGGATGACATGTCCGAACTAACGTTGACGCCTCCGGCGCTGGGAGGCGCTGGTCGGCGGCGAGCCCAGGGGGGAAGGCAAAGGGGGCGGGCCTCTCTTCAGAAAGCCCTCTCAGCCTTCTCCCGTCGGGCGTTGCCAAGAGTGCCCCTGGCCCAAGGTGCACCCAGATTTTCCACGGAGGCCCCCCACAGCCTCCAGAGCACCCCTCACGAGGTCCAGCGGGCCCCAGGGGCTCCACCATGGAGAGAAAAGCGGGGGGCATTCGGGCCAGCGGCACCTTTGGCAACCCCCGATCCGAAGGCACAGACGGCTTTCCAGAAGGCCCGGGAAGGTTCTGGGAAGCCTCGGCGCCTTCTGAGAAGGTCTGCTACGTCTCAAGTGCCCCCTGGGCTCGCCACCGGGCAGGGAAACCAGCTTCTTGAGATGGTTGGCTGGCGCCCCGCTTTACGACCTCCCACACACGGTTTCCAATCTACGTCAGAGAACCATTCTTGGAGACAACGTCATCTTTCATCTACAATAAGACTTCCGTTGAGAATACGCACTGGGCGCTGCATCGATGCAGACCCCTCCCCCGTAGTTGGGACAGCCTTCGCTGTCGTGGCGTTCGTTCGCTTCCCTTCCGTCCGGGCCGGCAGGTGCCCAAGTGGGGGCTCTTCCTGGAGTACTGTAAGATGAACTGGAGCCAGCCTCGCGTGCGGAGCGGCAGCATCAAGACCATCCTGGCTGGCCAGCTTCACAACGTCCACTTCGTCCTCCAGCTGCTCCTCAACCTGTGGCTGGTCGACTACGTCCTCGCCGGGCGGGTGGAGCACGCGTACAGTGCGCTCGCCCTCATCATGCTTGCCCACGTGGCGCCGCTGGCCGTGCTGAACAGGCTCGACGTCCGGAAGCACACGTGGGGCGTTGGCGGTGGTTCCCGCAAGGTGCTGCAGACGAGCCTGCTGCAGAAGGTGCTCCACATGGACCAGAGCGTGCACCGGGCCTGCAGGCCCGGCGACGTGGTGATGGCGCTATCGCGAGACTCCGTCGCCCTGGTAGCGAAGGGGTACCACAGCATGCTGCAGCTTGCCGAGGAGCTGGGGCGCTTCCTGATGGTCCTCGGCTGGCAGCTGGCCACGCCGGCCATCTCTGGGCAGTCGCTGTCGCCGGCCGACACCATCGGGCCGCTCGTCGTGATCCCGCTGGTCATGGCCGTCTTCCTGTGGCTGCGCAGCGGCAAGATCCGGGAGAAGCTCCTCGAGGAGACCAGGATCGACGGCGTGCATCAAGGGGGGTGCTGCGAGGGCGGCGGCCTCATGAGGGGGCAGGGGTCTGGAAGGGCTCGGAGCCTTCTTAAAAGGGCGCCCCTCCTCCTCCTCCTCAACTTGCTCCTCCTCCTCCTCAACTTCCTCCTCCTGCTCCTCCTCCTCCTCCTCCTCTTCCTCCTCCTCCTCCTCTTCCTCCTCCTCCTCCTCCATCCCCTCCTCCTCCTTCTCCTCCTCCTCCTCCTCCACCTCCTCCTAGAGTCTTACGTTTCCCATGTGCGCGCCGGCAGCAGGAGGGAGAACATAATGGTCGACCACATCCACGACTCCCTCCAGAACTGGCGCCTGTTCGCCGCGTTCGGCCGCGCCGACGGCTGCCTGGTGCGCTTCGTGAGGCGGATCGACGAGTACCAGGAAGTGCACCAGGAAGCGAACTTTGTGCGCGTGGACAACTCGTACTTCATGCAGTGGCTGACCACCGTCTTTGTTGCCCTGTACATCGTCTACGGGGGCTCGGCAGTGCTGCGGGGCGGCGTGTCCCTCGGCCTGTTCCTGACCAGGCTCAATGTGCTCAACAAGGTCGGAGAAGGCTTTGGACGCATATACAGGCTGCTGGAGGGGATCGCCCACGTGTTGCCCTCGCTCGAGCGAATCACCCTGCTCATGCACGACCCCAGCGACTTCCGCCGGTCACGGAGCGGGCGGGACTGTGTCAGCGCGATGCTGGAGACGATGGAGCTCGAGCGGGGCTCGCTGCGTGACTATGGCCTCGATCTTCTGCCCATCAGGGTGCAGGGGCTGTCCTGCGGATACACCATGTGCACCAAGTCAGGGGAGGCCGTGCGCTCGACTCGGCTCTCGTTCCAGGGCAGCATGGAGATCGCACAGGGGCGGCTCGTGATGTGCGTGGGCCCCCACGGTGAGGGCAAGGCCACGCTGCTGAAGCTCCTGGGCGGCACGATGTTGCCGGAGGCCCCGCGCGGCGCCTGCCCGCCGCAGGTGTTCGTGCCGTCACACCTGCGCGTGCTCTACGTGGACAGCGAGCCGCAGTTCTTCTCGGCGGCTACAGAGGAGGTGGTTGCGCCTGGGTGTGGTCTGCGACCGGCGGCGTTGGGGCTTCGGCGGTCGCAGCGTTGCGCCACAGGTTTGCTGAGCCCCCGTCGGGGGTCGGCGGAGATCTCTGTCGAGGTCTCCGCCCGCTCCCCAGGGTGAGGGTTGCAAGTCACACCCTTTGCACACCACACCCTTTGGGGTCGCCGATCTTCTACGGCACCCTGTACGCGAACCTGACCTTCGGCGTCCCCCCTGGTGACGGGGGGGACGAGCCGGACGAGGCACGCAGGAGGCACCAGTGGATCACCTCGACGCTTGGCCAGGGCCATCCCGTGCCCCAGGATGGTGTCTCGAAGACGCCTGCGGCGAATCACCGCCGCCCCCTGCCTTTTAGGATACGCCTGTGAGGCCACGGGCCAAGCGTTTTTTTTTGTTGCTGCAAAGTTTGGCTACAACATTGGACCATGCGTTTCCACGGCCGTTGTGGAAGCCCTCCAGGGAGCACGTGGGAGGAAGAGGAGGACGAGGAGAGGGGCGGCGGATGACGGAAAGCGCGCGCGCGCGTAAAATCGCGATCCGATGGAATGCGGTGGGGGCGTTGGTTCAGGAATGCGCCCAGGAGGCTGCAGACGCTGGAGGATCCCAAATCTGATGAGGGCGGCGGTGATGTCCAGGGCCAAGCCTCGATTGGAGTTCCACCGGCCTCCAGACCCTGGATTCCTTATGTAAGGGTTCCTTGTCCAATGCCCCCACCGCATGCTGCAGCGTCTGCTGCAGTATGCTGGGGCCGCAGGCCGCCTCAGGCCCTGAGCAGCCAACGGCGCTCTCGGGGGCTCTGGCCTGCACGCCTCTTTCCTTCTCCTCCCCCTCCCCTTCCCTCTCTCTCTCTCTCTCTCCCCCCCTCTCCCCCTCCCTCGAGCGGCAGTTCCTTCAGGGCTGTGCCGGCCAAACAGAGAAAGTGCCCCCCACCGTGTGGGAGGGGGAGCGCGCGAGGGGTGAGCCTCGGCGGGCCCAGCGCCCGTCGCCCCAGCCTCCGGTCGTGCTCGGCCCTCCGACGGCCCAGGCCGGCCCCGAGAGCTCCCAGGGTAGCCTGCCGAGCAGGGCCGCCGCACGGCCTCGGCGAGGTGTCCGCACCCGCCACGGTGCGTCGCCTGCCCTCTGGTCCGCGGTGCGGCGGAGAGCTCCCTCGCGGGGCAGCGGACCTTCCCTCCTGCCTTGCTTTGCCGCGGGGGCGGAACAAAGTCAGCCCCAGGAGCGCCTCAGAGGACCCCAAGGCGGCCCGAGGCAGCCCCAGGAGCGCCCGAGCTGCTTCCTCGACGGCCTCAGGGAGGCTCCAAGGGCCCCAAGACGGCCCCGAGAGCGCTCAGAGAGGGAACAACATGCTTCAACGAGGGCCCAAGATGGCCTCAAGACGGCCAAAGAGGCCCTCAAGACGCTCCACGAGGTCTCCAGAAGGACGCCCGAGAGGGGAACATCGTCCCATTCCCTTCGGGAAGAGCGTACATGTGTAGCACATCTGCGTCTTTGGTCTTCACAGCGTCCACGCCGGCCCAAGAGACCCCGAGGATCGCCCCAAGACGCCCCAAGAGGCACAAGAGGCCCCAAGACGGCCCCGAGCCAGCCCAAGGGCTTCAAGACGGCCCTAGAGGGCCCCAAGACGGCCCAAGAGAGGTCCCTGAGGGCCCCACACGGTTCCCAAGAGGGTTTTGAGAGGGCCACACGAGGTCCCCCAGAGGGCCTCGTGGGCCCCGAGACGACCCCTAAGACGGCCCAAGCCCCCCAAGACGGTCCAAGGGGGGCCCAAGAGGGCCCCAAGACGGCCCAAATGAGCCCCCAAAAGACTTCCAAGAAGGCCTGGAGAGAGTCTTCTTTGATTTTCGTAAGGTTGTTTGTTCGTTTTTTGCATGACGTGCCAAAGTCTTAACGCCAAGAGGGCTCCAAGACACTGAGCAAGCGATCTCGCACCCTCACAGAGAGCGAGCGCTTTCCGTCCACGTGCCTCTAATTGTCGTCGGCCTATCCTGCCACCGTGCCTGTGTTGCGGGTCTGAGGCCTCTTGGATGTTCGCTGGAATCTCGTCGAGGCCTCTCGGGGGCCTCCCTGAGGCAGTGTTGAGCCTCTGGGGGGGCTGTTTTGGGGACCTCTCGGGGGCTTCTGTTGGAGTCTCTCCTGGGGGCCTCCGCCACTGTGCCTGTGTTGTGGGTCCGAGGCCTCTTGGATGTTCGCTGGAATCTCGCCGAGGCCTCTCGGGGGCCTCCCCGAGGCAGTGTCGAGGCCTCTGGGGGGGGCTGCTTTGGGAGCCTCTCGGGGGCCTCTCTTGGAGTCTCTCTTTGGGGGCCTCTTGGGGGGCACGGTGGCGGATCGATCCCCTCCTGGCCGAAGCCAGGCGGGCGCACCCCGAGAGCCGACGCCGCGGTCAGCAAGAACGCGCAGCAGCGCGACGCCTCACCGCCGGAGCCCCGGACCCCATCGGGATCGTTTCCGCCTTCGTTGTTCTGTCGATCGGCGCGGGCCCTCCCCCCCCCGTCCCGCTCCCCCCCCACGGAGTGGATCCTGGCTGTTTTGAAGGGGCCCCAGGACACACAAATAAATAAACACAAATAAAAATATTCCCTATATTTTCCTATATTTTCTGGGTTTCTGTCTTCCCCCCCATTTCCCATATTTTCCCATGTTTTCTGGGGAATCGAGGATTGATTGTGTCTGTGTGTTTCTTTCCCTCCTGATGTTTTTGGCGCCTGTCTGGAGCAGGTGGAGTCTCCCCCACAGCAGGACGCACAGCCACAGGCAGGCGCGCTGAGCAGAGGTCCGAAGCCAGATCTCCCCCCCCCCCCTCCGCCCAATGCCGAAACACCGAGTAAGAAAACGTTCGCATCTTTCTGCGCCATTTTTCGACAAGGATCGATCTGCCAGGGTCCCAGGGCCCAGAACCAGGCGAAAACGTTTGTCGGGAGGGTCTGGGAGCAGACACGATGCCAGTGGCCTGGGCCAGGCGTTGTGGTGATGGCCTAGGCCAGGCGTGGTAGTGGTGCACGGACGCCTCGCTCGTGCGAGGGGCGCCACGAGCGCGTCGCCTCCATATGCGGCAGGCTCGGCTTGCGCCCCGATGTGGTGCGCCTGCTCTGGCGTAAGGACCGACTGGACGTAAGAGTGCCCCTTCGCAGGAGGGACCTTTGGTGCGGACACACTGGGGCCCCCGGATCGCCGAACGCGATGCGATACAGTCAAGACGATGAAATAAGGAACAGTTTGGGTTCGAAAGGGCTCGATGTTCCTTAGGTTCCTCCAGTGCTGTTCCTCCTGCCCTCCTGGGGCACGGAGGCGCTTACTGGCCCCTCCTGCGTGTGGCCGCAAGGAGAGCTTCGCGTGGCAGGGCGTGCTGTCTCGTGCGCAGCAGCACCTGCTCAGCCTCGCCCGGGGCCTCATCGCCAACCCCGACGTCCTGTGCATCCAGGAGCCCGTGCTGGGCCTCAGCGACGAGGCGAGCCGCCGCGTGATGGAGGTCCTGCGCGAGTTCGTCGCCGGCCGGGGGCTCGAGATGGACCCCGAGTCCTGGCACGCGCGCGCCCCCAGGACGTGCGTGCTTCTGGGGCTCCCAGATGGGGTCGGAGTAGATCGGGTCGGAGGATCGCGCCGCATCGCTGATGCATCTGCGATGCGGCTCGATGCGGAGCCCGGTTCTCTCCTCGCCGACGTCGCCGATGCGTCACCGACGTTGGCGATGCATCGCCGGCACATCGGCGATGCATCGGCGAGGCGGCGCGATCCTCTGACCCCATCTACTCGGACCCAATCTAGGAGGCCTCTAGTGCTGGCCCCGCCCCTCTTGGGAGGCGGGGTGCCAACAAGTCAACCCGACACGGCCGCGGCAGAGGCGAACATCAGCCCAACCCTGCAGGTACTTGACGGGAACCTCTCCTCCCAGCAGTGAAGACTAATTCCCAACCATCCTGAGGTGTTGGGTCCTTGTTTTGAAGAGACAGCGTCCCGCGTTCCTCCTCCTCCTCCTCCTCCCGCTGCCCCCTCCCTCCTCCTCTCACCATCATCATCATCATCAGCAGCAGCAGCATCATCACCATCATCATCATCATCATCACCACCATCATCATCACTATCACCATCACCATCACCATCACCATCACCATCACCATCACCATCACCATCACCATCACCATCACCATCACACATCATCATCATCATCATCATCATCATCAT